AAATGTGAATATTCAGAAATATTTCACATTTTTAAACAGTGAGAAAGGAAATGAATGTTTCAAATGGAAGCTGAAGGCCAGTACATTATGTCAGTATGTTGTAAGACATTTGAGTGGATAGAGGATTGATGGTGATTGTTTGGAAGCTAGATAAAATGTAGGAAGAATCAGTCTAATAAAAACAACTTGGAAATGATAAACACAATTACATGAGACAAATTAATGAAATTGTGTAAATGAGTATAGAGAGCCAGGTGTCACTTATTCTGATGGTCACCTACTAAATATGTTGAGAAACCCTTTCATGGTGAATATTTAGAAATACCTGGCACAGTGAGTTCCAAAATATTCATAACCCAATACTGCAGTTTTTTCACCCTTTGGTCCTTCAGCTCTAGTAGATTTGAAGACATCTTTCTTCCTGTCAGATATGCGTCCAAATGAGTGTGAACTAATTGGAAAAATGGACATTTCTTTCAGGACACTGCATATAAATACTAATGGGTAGGAAGAATCAACAGTGCCATTTCTGAGGTCATCTTGAAAAATCTACTCTTAAAATGAATCTAAGACCAGATTCAGAGTTGTTTTCTGTCCTTTTCCCGAAAGAATTGTGTTAATGTAAAAGGCAGCATGCAAATGGGAGCAGCCTGGATGGCATAGTGCTACGATACATAGAGAATAAAACTATCAGATTTGAATGTGTCCAGCACTTCATTGCCAATATTTCTGGGTGATAAACTGGAGGAAGCAAATAGATGAAGAAATAATTATATTGGAAAACGAGCAGAAAGTTCCTGTATGAATGCTTAGTAATAAAGCTACGACTTAGACCCAGAAGCCTAAGAATGATTCAGCCACTCAGTTTTTATTGTGTAAGACATCATTCAGAGAAACTTGTTCTATTCATTCAAAGATAATCTTCTTATCTGATTTCTACCAAAAGGAATAATAATTGAACTCCTTATACCAAAATTAGACTGTTTTATCAAAATATTGGTTCCCAATTTGTAAATAAGTATTTTTAATTAGGATGTTTAATATTAGGATATTAAATAACACCCCAGCCTACTAAGGCAAATTTTGGCCCCAGCTGGATTTCATCAACAAATCAAATGGTCACTGCCACCACATTTTCCTCTAGTACTTGTGCCTACTACTCTTGATAAACTGGAATATAAGCCTGCTCATGAAAGTCAAGAGTTGCCGCATGTTCAGCATTGTTATGTTCCAGACTCTTATCCACACTCTAACCAATACCAGGGATTAGAATTTGGAAACTTGATGAATTGTTTTTTAATCCAGGCTCTAATATATTTTGAAACATGAATAAAGGTTGACATAGGAAATCAGGCTGTGTTAAATATCAAAGGAGAAGAGGCGACAGAAAGAATTACAAGGTTAAGGATATGATACTTTATTTACATTTGATTGTCCTAAATAGATGAACTCATCAAAAATTCCAATCATGCACCTGTAAAATAAAAAGGTTGTGTCTATGACTGTGTAAAATAAAAATAATTTATAATTTATTATTTAGGACTCGACCTTATGAAAGCATGGAAGCTCAATGACTTTAAGGAAATTAGAATTTGACTTATTCCATAGTCTAACCTCTCTAGTACATGATAAATGCATTTTCTTTGTCAGGTTTATTCTTCGGATGTTTTGAGTTTAATTGGGGTCCTCTCTATAAACCGTGGACAGCTTGGGGAAATGTGACTGTTATTTATAGCACACCACAAGCCTACGCTGTACTTTCAATAGAGCTTAAATTGGACTGAATCTCTAAAACTATCTGCTCTGAGTTCTTTTTGAAGGAAAATAACATTCCCTTCCCCCATGTTTGTAATATCAGAAAACAAAAAGAAGCTCTTAAATATTTTTTGATGTAAAGAAATAGGTGGGAGAAAAAGGAAGGAAACAAAATAGAATAACAGATTTTTTTTAGCTTTTTTTCTTAAGAAAATGCAGTCTGAATAAATTACACAGAACAAAACTGTTGCAACTAGTTCCTGTGTGAGTTCTTCACAGGTAAAAATGAAGATTAGAGAACGTCCAGATGCTCAGATGTGAGAGTTCTTCCTTTTGAGAGTCTGAAAGGACAAAGAAAAAGTGAGTTATATGGAGATGTGAGATGTGTGTGGGGGTAGAGGATAAGAGGTCTATGAAGAACAAGAAGACAGCATTTGGTTGTGGGAATGTCAGAAAAATAAGACAGGATAAAGTCACAAGTGGGCGAAGAGAAAAAGAGAAACATGAAGAGGAAAGCACCAAAGGAAGAGGTGGGTGAGGAGGAGGAGGTAATGAAGCTTACCCACAAAGTACATATGTGACTATGAAAGCATTTTTTTTTTTGGTACCGAGGATCGAACTTGGAACCTTGCGCTTGCGAGGCAGGCGGCAGAACCACTGAGCTAAATCCCCGACCCTTTAAAAGCATTTTAATAATCAGTACTGGGAACATTCTCTGTGGGGTCAGAGACAAGATAATATGTTCTTCCCATACCCAAATTGGGCTCTGATAATGGCAGATCTTTTAGAAGATTCTAGTTGAATATCTGCATGTACACCTGTATAGGACTGTCAGGCAGTGCTAGCGAGCAGAGGAGGGAAAGGAGCTGAAGACCACAAGACCTGAATCATCAGCCCTGTTGTGGCAAAAAGTTTCCTTGATATGTAATTTGGGGAAGTATTTGAATTTCTTTCTACTTTCTATTTATCTCTCTATTTTGTTCTTAATTTGTAAATATACAAATAAAGCTTGTGTGTATGACTTACTTAAAAAAGTTTCCTAGACTTTAACTACAAAACTTTTTATAAGCCTCTAAATATTTCCAAGTGTATCTCAAAAGTACTTTGACAGAAGCACCATAAGTAATCCATGTGATGTGAGACTTCAGAGAAACCTTAACAAATGTGCATTTGGGAGAGAATAAAGATTAAAACTTATACCCAGGGTCTTAATTACATGTTACGTTAATTTTGTGAATTCTGGTCTTCAAATATGAAACCACTGGATTTGCAACAATAACTGACTTGAGAAAACATTGCACTTTGCTTTCTATCCAGCAAGGTGGTTATCATATACCTCTCTCATCCTTCCCCACTTCCCATATCCAAGAAGGAATGCTTGTTGCATCCTTGTATGTGAACAGACTTTCAGAGTAGGATGTGGAGGAGGAAACCTCATAAGCTTGACCTATAAATTTTTTAAAAATTAATTTTATTGGTACATTTTAGGTATACAATATAATGACATTCATCATTGGAAATTTGCACCTTTACATAATCTCTCTTGGTTCTTATTTTTTCCCCTTCCCCTGCCCTCCCTTCAACCCCTCCACCCCTCCCTATTTACAAAGACTTTGTTTCCATTCTTCCATTTTCTCATAATAATTCCATTCCCTTCTTTCCTTTCTCCTACCCCTACCTCTCCCACTTCCCCTTCCCCTTTGCCCCTTTTCTTCCTACTTTTTTTTTTTTTGTTACCGGGGATCAAACTCTGAACCTTGTGCTTACAAGGCAGGTGGCGGCACCACTGAGCTAAATCCCCGGTCCTCTTCCTATTTCACATTATCTATTATACCTTTTAGTAGAACTACCAATTATATATGTTTGTATTTCTTCTTACATGTTTTTCACTGTGGTAAGATAAAAATAGAAACAAAAGACAAGGGAAAATCAATTTTGGAAATATTTGAGAAACTATAAACCTTTATGGAGGCTACAATGAAGATCAGGAATTTATTTCCAACAGTCTTTTCACAAATTATGCATATTTTCTATGGAAATCACTTAAGATTAAGTATATGTACCATACTGATTTGACAAAAATAGTCAAGAGAATAGGAAATACATTTGAGTAGCACTTATAGAAATTTAGAATATAAGATCCCAGATTCAGTATCTTTGCTATTATTTTTGTTTTGTTTGTTTCTTTGAAGCAGAATTCTTCTTTTTGTGGTGCTGGGGATTGAACACAGGGCCTCATGCTGAGCAAGTACTCTGCCACTGAGATACATTTTCAGTTCCAAAAATCTTCTTAAAATATGTCTCATGGACAATCTCAACATATGAAGAAGTGAGTGTTGATCTGCTCTCATTGGAATGAGGATCACGGCTCTGGGGTGAGATAAGACTGCTCATCTTTCTCATTAATATTCTGTGACTCTCCTGGTCCCAACCCCGGGAGTCCTCTGGCTCATGGAATCTTCTAAAAAGTCTTGACTTAGCCTAACGTTTTGACTTTTCAGTCAAGGACACCAAGACACATTTCTAATGAGTGGATGAGCTGGGCTGAGTGCAAGTCTTCTGACTCTTCCAGCAAAGCCTCCTATACCAGACTGCCTGTGTTGAGTTCCTGAAATTAGTTCCAGATATGAAAGATCTTCCTTTTCACTAAATAGAGAACATCTTTTGATCACTGTATCAACAGAGACCAGGGAGAGTCACTATATAAACATATTTTTGGCCTATAACCTTTTGGGTTTTCCTATTGTCTCTGATAATGAGTTTAAAGATATATACTTTGAAAAACTCCTTCACTAGACAAAGCTGAAAATATTTAGTCATTGCTGATGCAGTGGCATATATCTGGAGTCTCAGTTACTCAGGAGGCTGAGTAAGGGGATCACTTACACTCAGGAGTTTGAGATGAGTATGGGCAACATAGTGAGACTGTTTTTAAAAAAATAGTCATAAAAATGGTAACTCACATCCAGCAAAGTCAAATTAATGAGTATTGTTGCTCAACTTCACTATCTGCTAGTTCTTTCCTTTGATGCTCATCTGCCCTTTTTTAACACAAAGTGGGGAAAAAGGTGCAGTTGTCCAGGCCTTGGGAAAGCACAGCCTTTCTCCCACCCATGAGGGTAGTCTAAATCTTGCTGCTTGCTGTACTAAAATTGTGTGCTCTTACAGCTGCCATCACCAAGCTGACCACGCACTACAGAATAATACAATTCAAAGACGATATTAAATGACAACAAAGGATTGGATCATGTTTATCTTGAAACAGAATTTTTAAATTAACTCTTTATTGATATTATTTTATGATTATACTGATCACATACAAATATTTATTTTAACCACTGGTTCTTTTAAAGACTTCAATCATTAAACTCAATTTTAATAGCAAATTATTATTCAGACAGCATTAGAATTCACTCTAGACAAACAGTACTTTAAAATAACTTGGATGGTTCACTTTATTTTCTATGTCTAACCAAATAATATGTATGCTATAATGTTCATTGAAATGAAAGAGTTCATGAGACAGGCTTAAATTGAATGTTCATATTAAATATTCATAATGACATTTTCAAACTTAGAATTGTTTTGCTTATTCAAAAAGGTCTGCTAAAATTATTTCAGTGATAAACATTTTTAGCAACATAATTCTGTAGCTTTCAGAACAGAAAGTACCCTTTTTTAAATCCTACTTCGGTACTACTATTCTAGAATATAGACTTCAGAATATAATAGTATCTATTGTGCATTGGAGTTATTACAATTTTAATTTCTTTTCTATTAGTATCGAACACTGAAATTAGAGTATTCAAGTTTAGAGATGGTTTTTTCATTAGAAAAGTTTGTGCAGTCAATGCGAGAACTAGGACTTCCAACCTTGCTCAGTCAGGACTTCATGGAATCGACCTTCTCTTCAGGGCCTTGCACTTGGCCTGTCACAGTGCCTTTGCTGGTATTCTTCACCCAGCCAACTACTCCTATTTTCTTAGCTTCACCTTCAGTGTACATTCTGAAGCAAACACCCTGCATTCTCCCGAACACCTCGTAGTCCACTGATTTGAGCGGTGCGTTGGTAGACATGGCAGCGGCGGGCCCTCTGCCGAGGAGCAAGAGCGCGGCCCAGGGCGCGATGACTTACTTGACCTATAAATTATTACTAAAAATAGGACCTGAAGTCCACCAAAAGTATTTGTTCACTTTCTTTTTTCTTCTTTTTCTTCCTCACTCATCTTCCTACCTTCTTCACTTTCTCCTTTCCTTTTTGGACTCTATTCTCCAGACTTACAGCCTCAAAATCCCCATAGATGTAGCCCAGGGATTTAGATTTTGTTAGTAAGCTTGTGTCCCTACGATAGTCAGACCAGGCCTGGCTTGTGAGGATCCATAAATGACATTCACAACTGTGTCCTCTGAGAAACTTCAGAGGTTTCTAAACAGGACCTGTCTGTATTGGTGGCCTAGTGATCATTAGTCATTTTTAAGGGCAGTGGGATGAGAATTACTGCCTCTAAATATATCCATTTATATATTCAGGTTGATTTTAAAAATACATTTGGCAGTGGACAAGAATTTTTAATTCACATCAACTAAAGAGACTTCATCTTTTAAAAAACTGACATGTCTAGGGGGTAAATGAATCATACAAGACAATTTAATAGAAATACGTGAGTAGAAATAGAGCAAGAAGATACCTGATCTGGGCTGGGGGGTTAGCTCAGTGATGCCGTGCCTGCCTGGCAAGCAAGGTCCTGAGTTTGATCCCTGGTACTGGAAAAAAGAAAAAAAAAGATAAGCTGATCTACAATGATGGAAAAAGTGGGTATCATATCTGAGAGGGTATGGGCAAATTTTATTAAATTCTTCACAATCCCTATGAGGATTGAACTTACTCAAAGTCAACCATTTTTTTTTTTTTAGTAGAAGAATGTTAGAAGCCAGAGACACACTTGGAAAAGTTAAGGCTAAGGATACTTTGCAGTTATCTTAGATAAGACAAATCATTTTACAAGACCTTAACAGAAAGCCAGGAAAGCAAAAGGCTAAAATCATAAATTCTTAAGATGTCCTTCTCCAAAATGATTATCTTGGACATGGCACAAAATGCCCAGTACATAGCCACAGATGAATAAAAGATGAATTTGTTGTAAAAAGCTTAGAGATGGTAGATGACATTTATATAATGATATAAATTTGTAGATAATGATGGGGAGTCATTCAGTTTTTGAAAGCTGATAATGTTTTTTTCAGCTTTCATGTTCGTTTTAAATTTCTCAAATTTGGACAGTTTCTATGAAAGAAAAAAGACACATTTTCTACTCTGAAAAGATCACAGAATTAGACAGCAATCACATCATTTTCCCCCAAAATCTGGGTGCTTTTCATCATTGACAACCCTTAAAACTGAAAATCCAATAAAAATTAATTATAATATTTTACTGTGAATTCCTATGCCATAGATGATTTCCAATTAGCCTTCTTTTTCTACTTTATAATTAGGAAATAAAGTTGTAGGTGGGGGTAAAGGGGGCATAATATAATTCTGGGAAGTGTCCAAGAAAAAAGTGTAAAAATTATATTGAGTACAATTTTACATAGTTTTATCATGTCTTTGAAGTCTTATATTTAGCTTTGTTTCAGGAAGGGAGACTATATCGTTAATTCATAAAGTCATTTCCAGATTAATAATACTCTTCTGGGTACTTAGACGTATAAACATTGAAGCACACTTAAACATTGCAAATCAAAATGGAATAAGGACTTTGGGAAGACTGGCTAGCTGTCCTCAAATATGCAAAATGTTGGCAAGTGGAAAAGGAAATAGCCTTGCATTAGCTCTAGAGGACTGAGCTATAGTGAAAAGTTTTAAGTTACACAAAAGAGTAGCTCTACCCAATACAAGTAAAAAGTAGCTTAGGTCTAGCATTATCCTTAGTTGAAATAGTTTGTCCTCCTGATATTCAACACTATTTTCCTTGCATATTCCAGTGCAATTTTCTATTGTATAAGTAGAGCCTGAAGGTTGTCTGTTAATGATTTTGAAGAAAACATGAGTGGATGGAAGGCTGAACTGGGTTACCTTTCAGATTCTTTTCCATAATTAGTGCTGGAAGGGAAGGTGAGGGAACTTGGTATTTTGAGCTAAGTTCCATCAGAAGTGGGTTCTCAGGCAAGGATTGGAGTGCACATGGTTTACTGGGGAAGTGATCCAAGGAAATATCAGTAGGAGGATGGTGTTATCAGTATTTCTGAAAACTTCTGTAATACACTTCAGAAATGTCCTGTCTATGGCCATGCCACCCTGAACACACCCAATCTCATCTGATTTCAGAAGCTAAGCAGGGTCGGGCCTGGTTAGTACTTGGATGGGAGAAATGTCCTGCACAAGAGGTAAACAAGTAGTGGTATCTATCCTCCACTCTCATACCTCATTGGCTAGGGACTAATCTCTAGGATATTAAATCCCCAGTATTTCTGGAAAGGTATATTTTGTGACACAGAGTTCTGTTGGTATGCATAGAGTAGTTGATAAGTGCCCCAGGGCTATGATTAGGGGCTTAAAAGCGTCTGCTATAGGTATAGAGCACTGGGTACGAAGTTAGGCTGATCTGGATTTTGTGCTAATTTCTTCCTCTTGACTATATCTTCAGAAATTTATGTAGTCTCTCTGGTTCTGTTTCTTTATCTGTATATATTAGAGATGACATAAGTACCTCACAAAGTTTTTGGTGAAATAAGATAATAAACCTTAAAGCACTTAAAATATGGGAAGAACTAAAAAGGTAGCTTTTGCTATTTTAATATTAAAATTTACTGTTCAGATGTAAAATGAGCTAACTCCAAACATAGTAAGGCATTTAGGTCTTAAATGCTGTCCAAAGACTATGGATAACATAAATGCTAAAGAAACAAAAGGTTTAAACTACCATAGAATTTAGTCAGAAATTATTTTCTTTCTATATGTTATAATTAATAAGTAATATTTTTGACTGTCAAGTAAATATCTGACACTTCTGTACTCACAATGAACATAAATGCCTACTCATTCTTCTGAATTTGGCTCAGGCAGTGTTTCCTGTAGTCAACCACCTTTCTAGCTGTGATCAATAGAATGATTTTACAACTAGACTAGGATAGTACTATACTTACATAAACAGTTGCCTGGATGTCTGACATTGACTCTTCACCAAAGACAATAGGGTAACTAAGATGAGGTTTAAAGTCTGAAATTAGTAATGTTTTGTACCCAGAATAAACAGTTAATTTGGCTCTGTTGTGTAACCAGAAGGTCATAGAAGACTCTGCTCGAAACTTTTAGAGAGCCCTCCCAAAATCAAGATTCACTGCACAAATTTTACACATCCTTGGATGAATAAGAAGGAATTTGAGAGCTTCACTTGGAAGGTTCTTTGGAATCTTGTAGTCTACTAAGTTATCTGTGCCCGTTTAAATCCTTGTTTGAACACTAATCACACCAGGTTATATTTAGCTGTATATTTATATGTGTTCTTAATTACATATAAGAGTTTTTGAGAATAAGAACTCAGCCTGTATAATAATTACTATTATTTTTTCAATATTAAAAACAATTCCAGGGCTGGGGATTTAGCTCAGTGGTTTCGCTGCCTGCTGCGCAAGCACAAGGACCCAAGTTTGATCCCCAGTACCAAAAAAAAAAAAAAAAAAAAAACAATTCCAGGAATAACATGAACAGGTGAGAATATTTGTTGCACAAAATAAATAAAAATGTGATATGGGAATTTATGAAAAATTGTAACACGTGGAAATGTCTACATGTTTAATATCAAATTCACAAATGTTCACAATGCCTTTTAAGTGAAAAATGTTGAGATAATTGCAGTGAAAGCTACAATGATAGAAACAACATTGTTTCCTTTCCAAATATGCTATGCAAATTTTCATAGTAAGCATAGTTTTTTAAATCTGCATTTGGTAATTGCAGTATATAGTCTTTATGGATCTATCCGTGGTGTCTATTGATTCTACTGGTTTTTGCTTATGTGTTTTTTTTTTCTTATGTGCCTGGTTGTCCTTGACTATTTGCTGGTCATTGTACCTGCAATTCTATGTAAGAATAACTCTGAGTATAGGATGAATGTATATTTTTCTAGAGAGAACTGATATTTCTACCTGGACCCTGAGGTTATTACCATATTTAATTGCCCTTAATCCAAGTCCAGTGTTTAAGTTTCATGGACCACAATGCTAATATGATTCCAGGCTAAAAGATCACTTATCCCTTCCCTGAGGATATAAACCTTTGGGGTAACAGCTTTTTGTGTGGGACAGTCTTCTAATGGATTTGTGTAGACCATTGGTTTTGTGTGTCCTATTTATTTCACTTAAGAGTATGGCCTCGATATGCATCCATTTAGCTATAAATGACTCTAATTCTTCATTCTTTATGGCTGAGTAGTACTCCATTTTATAAAAAAAAAACAACTACATTTTCTTTATCCTGTAGACCATTGGTTTTGACCTCTATGCTCCTGATCCTATGAGACCATCAGAATAATAATTTGTTTTCAAGGACGATATCTGATGCTCTGAGGGTAAAAGTGACTTCCTTGTGCACTTAATACTCTGGCTTCCTGACTTCATTTTGTTGTTCACTATTTGCTGCTCTGAAAGGGATATTTTACAAACCTTCACTCAAAGTTTTTAGTTATTTTCCTCTTAAGTACTGATCAGAATAACTTAGTTTCCTATTACTGGAAGCTGGAAACCTCTATTCAGAAAACTATAAGTTTATTAAACATCTTGCAAATAATTGCTTGTAGGAGACAAAAGTCTACCCAAATAATGACACCATAGAGCCTACTAGTCATCTCCTACAATGATCTACCTTAATCAACTTACTAATGTCACATGAACCTCATTCTTTCTCAAATATGCTAAGCTTAGTTTTGTTTCAGAGCCTTGCTCTTTCCTCTGTCTTGAATTCTTTGCTCCTAGATCTTTTTATGGTTTATGTCTGCTTATAAATGCCAAGTGATCTTGTTATTCCTCTTTCCTGTCACTTTAAAGAGACAGTCTTTCACCATTTTACTCTTAGTAACTGTAACAGTGAGTGGAGAGAGAAA